TAAAGTATGACGAAAATTCAACAGTCAGCTAACCACCCACCTAAATAAATGAATTACCAAGTGATTTACAAATTCCACGATTCATGTTAACATTTCTTACACAGCTGAGTAGTTACTCAACTGTGGTGTCAACAAGGTTACCATTGTAAAACACCCATCAGCCAATATTACAAGATGTCATCTCTGACAAAAGCGTTATGAACTGGCGAAACATACTACTACTACTACTACTACTACTACTACTACTACTACTAATACTGCTACTAAACAGCTAGAGTTGTTAGAAACCACTCAGGCTGATCTTTAGTATTTCGTCAGTCAACCAGTTCATAGGGGTCTCAACACTGTTCGATGGTTTTGTTCGTTCGGCGTCAAGCTTATCATAAGTGTATCCAGATAAATTCAGTTCATACTACTGAATTTGCTGAGATCACTAAAATTTGATTGGCTAGCTGACTTCTATAGATTGGTATATTGTAAACATAATGATTAATTTAAAAATAATGGACATGATTCAAGTTCAACTGGTGTTTAGAACACTCTGATATGATTGTCGAGCAAAATACTACAGATCCATCAAAGTGGTTTCTAACTAATAAAATTGTTCAATAGCAGAAAACTGAGAAAAAAGCACTTGATTACAACTACCAGGTCTCTGTATGGCTCCGAGACTTGGCACGTTACGAAAAGCATTTCCAACAAACTACACACATTCATCAACAACTGCCTACACTGGCTCGTTACTCAAGATCAGATGAGAAGGCCACAAAGAATAAACAACAAGAAACTCTGGCTACCTGGCAACCAACCAACCAAGAAACTATCACCCAACAAATATGCAGAAGGAAGTGGAGATCGATTGGATTGGGCATACACTGAGAAGGCTGAATGGGGACATCACTCGTCAGGCCAGGGACTCGAGTGGAACCTAGATGGGAAATTACGAGTTGGGCATCGGAGACGAGGGTGACATGGAGGAGATGGTGTGAGAAAGAAATGAGAGGTTGTGGGCAGTCGTGGAGTCAGGTTCAAAAGATTGGAGAGAACGGAGTGCGATGAAGACGTGCTACTGAATCCCTATGTTCCATTAGGAACACAAGGGACAAATAATTAATAATAATAATTTTCAATACATCTTTCTAAACAGAAGCAATTCATGTTGAGAGCTACTTTTCTTTGTTACCCTTAATCATGCAAAACAACATGACAGATGGTTTGACTTCGAAACCCACCTACAATTATTCAATACCTTAGATAGACTGACAAAATGAATGTAGAACCTCGCACGAACGTGCATCGGCTAAAACTGCGAGTAGTACACAAAGAACAGGTGGCTAGAAGATAAAGTAATGTAAGCGAATTAACAATATGGAGATAAAGGCTAATGAAAATCTTAAAAACTTCGCGGGTGTCTACATCGACACATCAATAAGGGTCTCTATTATCTCTCGAGAACCCCAAACAGGTAATCTCCACCTCTTTACATAACCCACACCAACAATCACAGACTTCGTCAACTGATACCACGTCTCAGTCTGACCATCTTTAACACTCTTCAAACTGAATCTAACTTCCCTCAGCATAGCAAATCGAGGTAGCCGGTGGCTCGGCATGCACAGTATGTGTCCAAACCATCTCAGTTAACTAAGGTTCACAAACTCATCCAACGACTTCCTTATCTTGCCTAGTACACCTCGCCTGACCTCAACATTCTACACAGGGTGACTCCACCAAGCTCTGGCAATCATATGAAGATATCGATGATCAGAAACCCTATTCTCGCTCCACGTCTTCTAGACTCAACGGCCATGGCTTACAAACACATAACAGGAGAGAACGGACTGCAACTCAGTATACTCATCCTTTGGTAGACAGTCGGATACCTCGATGGATTCCACAGGTGACGTAATTCACCAAATCACGAACCACCCTTCTTTATCCAAGCTGAAATTCTGTCACCAACCTAACCGTTCTGTTTGATAAAACTCACGAAGTAAGTGAAGTTGTCGACACATCCTACAATTTCACTTCCGATCATTAAACTGGGAGTACTTGGAGCAGACGCGTGCTGCACCATCATCTTACACTCCAAAAGTGTGAAATGCATGCCAACTATACACAGATTTCTGATCAAGGCGTACAGAAGACCCTGCATTTTGTCAACATCTTCACTCAGCAGGACAATATCCTCTTCATACTCCAAGTCAAATGGATGACTTTCAGGAGGAGATCAATCCCCGTATAGTCAGAAGTAAACAGAGTTGTGTCGATTGAGTGATAAATAAGAGATAATTCAGTGAAGAGAATGTCTAGATTAAGTAGGACGGTGGAGACGAGAATAATGTGTGTGTACATATACTCGATTGACATGGATTCCGAGTCAGCCACTCGTTCATTTCTCCTGTCCTATGGATCCCATCCAGCTAGTCTACATTGCCCTATATGGCTCCAACCAACAGTCAACGACTTCATGCATTGATACCATATTTTGTTCTGGTCACTCTCAGGCTTTTCTCAGCCTAAACACCTACTTCAACCATCATTGTGACGTGGCAGATGGTGGTTAGTCATAAGTAACACATGTCTTAGCCATCTGAGTCGATGAAGAATCACGACTGGATCAACTGACTCACTTTTCTGCCCCTAAAATTCTACACCTGACTTTTGAGTTACTCACGTGGTGACACCACGAAACATGGTACGTGCTACGAAGGTATCAGCGGTCAAGCAACTGAAATCATCTCATGTCAGGGAACACAAACCCTCCGACAAAAGCAGGAGTGAAGTGCTGAACGCCATAATGTTACTGAGAGCCGGAAAAGCAGCAGGACCAGATGGAATCACGCGAGAAGCATTGAAAACAGACTCAGAGACATCAGCGGACCAGCTCACACCACCAATGCAGAAGGTTTGAAAGAAAGGAAAGGTACCTGGTGGCTGGTTGCAAGAAGGGCTACCTTGTCAAACTTCCAAAGAAGGCACAACTAAGTCTTTCCAAGAACTGGCGAGGAATAATGTTCCACCCCTGTCCACCTCAAGCAAAATATTAAGCGTCATCATCCTAAAGAGACTAAACAACACCCTGGATTACAAATTATGACCAGAACAGGCTGTCTGCCTGACTCGTTGGATTGAAGAAGAACAAATCATTTGCCCCTCAAATTACAACGCTACGTTACTCATCATCATATAACAGAGTATAGAATGTCAGTCAATTCAACTCGACCTCAACTTCATCGACTTCGGAAAGGCATTCGACAACGTCGATCGAAAACTAATCTGACAGGCACCTGCTTCAAAACTACGGTTTTAGTGCCAAAAACCTTTATCAACCTCATTGAACACTAGCTATATGCTATATATGATGCCACATGCCACAATGGAAAGCTGAGCTCAGTGATGTCTTTGAAGTGAAGTGAAGTGAAGACAGGAGTAAGACAAGTTTACCACCTACTATCACCGATCATCTTCATGATTATGGTCAACTCAACTCGACTCGACTGGAGTGGAGTGGAGTGGAGTGGATGGTGCAAGGAAATGTGAGTTGTGAGAAGATAGGCATACTCTAGGTGGACGGATGAGAAGACGACAGAGGAAGATTTGGATTTCGCCAACGATGATGATTTATTTCTAATGTCTAATGTTGCACAAACTCGAAGATGTACAGGTGAAAACTAACAAGTTGAGAGAAGGGGAGAGGCAGGGCAGTGAAGACGAGACTTGTTTGAAGTGAACGTGGAGAAGACAGAGGTAGAGGTGATGGAGATACTCAACCAACAACAACATCAACAAGAAGAAGAAGAGTGAATCAACATGAAAGGGAGAAACCTAAAGGAAGTAGTCCCTTTCACCTACCTACTGCCTACATAGGCAGACAGTATCGTTGCAACTACAGGTGGCACAGGCAGAGATGAGGATATCGTAGCCAGCGAGGATCGGATAGACAGCAAGACGTGCATTCCTGCAATAATCTGAAATGATGAGTGTCGAGGTCTACTACACTGCACTGGTGTGCACTCAGGATAAAGTGTAAACAAGACTAATGTGAGTCAAGTATGTGGGTGCTTCTATGTGATGGTTGAGAGACTTGGTGTGTAGTGCGAAAAATATTTCAACAAACTGTAGACATCCATTAGCAGCTGCTGCCTACACTCACTCCATACTGAAGATGAAGATCGGATGTCCAGAAAGAATAAGAATAAGCAACAAGGAACTCTGTGAACGAACCAACTAAGAACGTATCGTCCAACAAATATGTAGAATGAGAAAGTGGAGATGGATTGGATTGGATGGGATATAAACTTAGAATTCCGTTTGGGGACATCACGCGCCAGGCCAGGCCGTTTAGAGAAACCCGAATGGGAAACGATGAGTTGAGTGTCCTAGGCGAGGTTGACATGGAGGAGATGGTGTAAGGAAGAAATAATTGTTGGCAGTGGTGTAGCCAGGTTGAAAGAGAAGATTGCGTAGAAGAGAGTGAAATTACGACGTGGTACTGAATCCGTATGTTCCACTGGGAACCCAGGAGACAAATACTAATAATAATGGCAATGGTTAAATATAATGCACCTTGCACTTAGACCATCATTTGCAGAATGTGCTTCATTTTCTCTTCTGCTTCTCTGTTGATTTGCTCTTAATACGCCCGCATTGTCTCATGAGTTTCTCTGAGTAGAGTATTTACCCATTTCTAGTAATTCCCGGTGATTTCCGCTGCTCTCTCAACATATACTACTTATATCCATCCTAATGAATAATGCACACTACAATAGATTATTAGATATATCGCCATTTTGAAAAGTATTCCTAGTTAGGCACTATATGATCTACACTTTAACTTTTATGAAGTTTGTGTAGTCGATACTTACTAGAATAAGGTGGTACTCTTGAAAAAAGAAATACCTCGTTTTCACTTGATTTCGTTTTTTCTTTAAAAAAAACACTTAATGAGATTTTAATTTTACTACAAAATTAAAAAAAAAAACACAACCAATTTGTAGAACCGTACCCAAAACAATAATACCTGTAGCTGAGTAAGTTCTTACTGTACTTGGAGATAAAATTGTTCCTATATATAAACTTCTAAATGTATTTTTAATGTTGTTGTTGTTGTTGTTGTTGTTGTTGCTTGCATACTTTATTTGTCTATGGTTTAATTTGTTCTTCTTTGTCACATGGTTTGTGTGTGTGTGTGTGTGTGTGTGTGTGCATGTATATGTTCACCTGCCATTTTCATGGTTATTTCTTTATTGTTGTGAGATATGATATATTCATGTGCATGTTCACACTCATTTTAGCGTCTTAATTGTAATACTAGTGATGAATAGTGGCTAATGGAGTGGAATTGACGACGTTCATTTCGTCCTACTCAGGATCAGTGTTGATTAAAATAGCAGAGCACAAAAAAGTAACTAAATAAAGATTAGTAGATTGTAATTAGATAAGAAATTTAGAGAAAAGCTCAATTATAGCTCTATACGCAATTACACACAATCACATTCAGTAAGGTGGGTGAAGTGGTCGGTCCATAAAGGAAACAATGGGCTGACCACTTCAAGAAGCTCTTGAATCGACCACCACCTGCACTTCATCCAGAAATACCACCTACAGCCGCTGAACTACAAGTGAACATAAATCCTCCAACAAAAATGGAAGTCCTGAACGCCATAAAAAGGTTGAAATGCGGGAAAGCAGCAGGACCAGATGGGATCCCACCAGAAGCACTGAGAACAGACGCAGAGACAACAGCGGACATGCCCACACCACTATGGCAGAAGGTGTGGAAGGAAGAGAAGGTACCTGGCGATTGGAATAAAAGTTACCTTGTCAAACTCCCGAAGAAGGGAGACCTCAGTGTTTGCAAGAACTGGCGAAGAATCACGCTTCTCTCCACCTCAATCAAGCAGAATGTTAAGCCGCATCATCATGGAGAGGCTAAAGGATGCACTGGATTCAAAACTACGACAGGAACAGGCAGGCTGGCTTCAGGAAGTACAAATCATATGCGGACCAAATTGCAACGCTTCGCATCATCATAGAACTGAGTATAGAATGACTGTCAACGCTCTACCTCAACTTCATCGACTTTGAAAAAGGCCTTTAACAGCGTCGACCGAAAAATAGTTTGAAAGGCAGTTGCTTCAACACTACGGAATACCGCAAACCTTTATCAATCTCACTCAACAACTAAATGAAGACACCACATCCCAAATAATTCACAATCGAAACCTCAGTGATGTCTTCGAAGTGAAGACAGGAGTGAAACAAGGTTGCCTACTATCCCCCATGATATTCCTGATTGTGGTCGACTCGATTGGATCATACAGCAAACAGTGGGGAGCGAGAAGAGGTGGATACACTGGACTGCGGAAAAGAACCTAGAAGACTTGGATTTCGCCGATGACTTATGCCTGATGTCACACAAACTTGAAGATGTACAGGCGAAAATTAACAAGTTGGCTGAAGAGGCAGCGAAGACGGGACTTCAAGTGAATATAGAGAAGACAGAGGTGATGAAGATACCCAACCAACAACTCCAACAACAACAACAAGCTCCAGTCACCGTCAACGGAGAAACTTAAAGGAAGTAACCTCCTTCACCTATCTAAAAAGCACTGTCTCAACTACAGGCGAGACAGACGAGGATGTCAAAGTCAGAATCGGGAAAGCAAGACAGGTGTTCATTAGCCTGAAACCAGTGTGGAGATCTTCTGCACTCAGCATTCGGAACAAGATACGGATTTTCAACACCAACGTCAAGTCAGTGCTTCTGTATGGTTGAGAGACTTGGCGCGTCACGAAAGGGATTTCCAATAAACTACAGACATTCATCAACAATTGCTTACGCTGGGTCGCTACTGAAGATCAGATGGCCAAAATAGTCAGAATAAGCCACAAGGAGCTGTGGGAACGAACCAATCAAGAACCTATCACCCAACAAATATGCAGGAGGAAGTGGAGATGGATTAGGCATGCACTGAGAAGGCCGACTGAGAACATCACGCGTCAGGTAATGTTATCTAATTGCTGTATACTCTATTTCTTTATAATCCTCCAGATTATATTCATTCAAGACCTAAGTTTACGTTCACTTGTCACTTTGACTCCTGTGTTTTTCTGGTTTTTTTCTTAACAGATTAACTTGTCTGGGATGTTTTGTTTTCTAAATAAGTTTAATCATCTTCGATTACAAGTCAAGTTTATGGTTGTGATTATAAAACTTATTGAGATGTCTCTGCTCCGCATAAGTCTCACTCTTTGTAAGCTTGTAGTGCACCTTCTGGCACCAAAATATAACTAGGGCTAAAATAAATAGATTAAATTCAACTAAATAAATAAACATCTAACTCGCTTTCGGATGCTTTAGATGTTTTAAGTGTTGTTTTAACGAGCATGCATCCGAGCAGGCTTGGACTGCATTTTCCGCTCCATCGTTCTGGTTACCATGCACGTACTCCGAGTCCCTAGTTCAGCCTTACAAGCCAGATAAGTTGATTAAACTTTTCTCCCATTCATTATTATTACATTTACTTTGATTAAATACATTGCGTATCAGTTCTTTTGATTTGTGTTTTGTTATCAGTACTTACACGTTAGGTGAAGTACTGGTTGAGCAGGTAGTAGAGCACATCAAGTTGAGTAGGGTTGATCAAACGTTACGGAATTGTAACACACTCCCCCTACAATTGAATTTATAAGATCAGATGGCATAGCCAGAAAGAATAAGCAACAAGGAGTTCTGGGAACGAACCAACCAAGAACTTATCGCTCAACAAATGTGCAGAATTAAGTGGAGATGGATTAGGCACACACTGAGAAGGCCGACTGGGGACATTACACTCCAGGCCAGGCCGTCGAGTGGAACCCAGATGGGAAACGACGAGTTGGGCGTCGGAGGCGAGGGTGACATAGATAAGGTCGTGCGAGGTTCAAAAGATTGTAGAGAACAGAGTAGAATGGAGACGTGGTAGTGAAGCCCTATGTTCCACTAGGAACCCAAGGGACTAATAATAATAATAATAATAATAATAATAATAATAATAATAATAATAATAGGTGGGATACAGCGACAACGTTAATAACTAACTTAGTTGGTTGGTGAGAGGAAAGCATTGATCACCGAATCTTTGTTTATCGAATCAACATTAAATACAAACAGTAATAGAAAGCATTGTGCACGTGTCCCAGATATATATTGAGAATTCTACTACCCTTGTGATCACAAAGAAGGAGGGAAAATCAGGACTATATAAACTCTGTTTCAAAGGTGTAGAGTTAGTTACCTGATATGACTATGGACAATAAATTGTGTCCGTAACGTTATCCAGTAAATGACACTGTTCCTTCATTATGTGTGACATTTCTAATAAACAGACTAAAATACAATTAAATTTCGCGGTTTGTGAAGATTTAGAGATTTTTCAAGTTGGTATTCACTGAGATAACTTCAAGGAATATTGGAAACCTGGGAGCACTGCATAGCCGTTCCGTCTCGCTAGTAACGGACTCCTTAGCAGTGGGCACACACGACCCCGCCAGGTATCGTCCTGTCTTCGCTGCCTCTTATGTCAACTTGTTAGTTTTCACCTGTAGATCTTCGAGTTTGTGCGACATTAGACATTAGAAATAAATCATCATCGTTGGCGAAATCCAAATCTTCCTCTGTCGTCTTCTCATCCGTCCACCTAGAGTATGCCTATCTTCTCACAACTTCTCACATTTCCTTGCACCATCCACTCCACTCCAGTCTACTCCAGTCGAGTTGAGTCGACCACAATCATGAAGATGATCGGTGATAGTAGGTGGTAACCTTGTCTTACTCCTATCTTCACTTCACTTCAAAGGCATCACTGAGCTGAGCTTTCCATTGTGGATCACTTGGTATGTAACGTCGTCATATGGCATATAACTGGTGTTGAATGAGGTTGATAAAGGTTTTTGGCACTAAAATGTAGTTTTGAAGCAGGTACCTGTCAGATTAGTTTTCGGTCGACGCTGTGGAAAGCCTTTCCGAAATCGATGCAGTTGAGGTCGAGTTGAATTGACTGACATTCTATACTCTGTTATAATGATGATGAGTAGCGTAACGTTGTAATTTGAGGGGCAAATGATTTGTTCTTCCTGAATCCAACGAGTCAGGCAGGCAGCCTGTTCCGGTCATAATTTGTAATCCAGGGTGTTGTTTAGTCTCTTTAGGATGATGATGCTTAATATTTTGCTTGAGGTGGACAGGGGTGGAACATGATTCCCCGCTAGTTCTTGGAAAGACTTAGTTGTGCCTTCCTTAGGAGTTCGACCAGGTGGCCTTTCTTCTAATCGGCAGGTACCTTTCCTTCATTCGAAACCTACTGCAGTGGTGGTGTGAGCTTGTCCGCTGATGTCTCTGAGTCTGTTTTCAATGCTTCTCGCGTGATTCCATCTGGTCCTGCTGCTTTCCCGGCTCTCAGTAACATTATGGCGTTCAGGACTTCACTCCTGCTTTTGTCGGAGAGTTTGTGTTCCCTGATAATTCTGTGGCTACTTGGGGTATTTCTGGATAAGGTGAAGGTTGTGATGGTGGTCGATTCAAGAGGTTTTTGAAGTAGTCAGGCTATTGTTCCCTTTGTTTCTTCTCTTTGGTAACTAAGTTTCCTTCAATATCTTTTATTGGTTTCAGCTGTGTTGATCTCCTCCATGCTGGATAGCATTTTCGTTATTTGATATGGTGTTGGCAGGACTCTCCTATCTTCAGCTTATTCTGCTTCACTTGCCAATGTGTCGTAGAATTGTCTTTTGTCTTTGCGCGCACTTTTCACTTCTTTGCCCAGTGTTTTATAGGTTGTATTCAGTTCCTCTTTTCGTTGTTCATCCTTGCACTGCACTGGTTTATCGTCTGCTTCACCATCTTCCTCTCGTCTATCAGCTTCCATGTGTCCATCGAGATCCATTCCTTGTCCTGTCTTGCTTCTCCTTCCTTCGTAACACGGTTATGCAGGTTTCCTTTCACATCTCTTTCAAAAAGTTCCAGTGTTCTTTCATGGAGTTTTCTTCAGGGATGTTGCTTAATATCTCACATTTTGTCCTGATGGCTGACTGATGTGGAGATGTCCTTTGTAGGTTTGTCCTTCAGTTCAGTTTGTGTTCTGGGTGTTGCAGTTGAACTGTGTTCTATCATTACAAGCCTTTTTGAAGGCTTTCAACTTGATTTTGAAGGAAGGTTCCTGCACTAGATAGTGAGTGGTGTGAACCTACACCTTCTCCCCTTCGTGATGTTGTGTCAAGTAGGCTGCGTCTCCACTTTCTTCACATTGAGATGAAGTCGATCTGATTTTGTGTGTGTCCATCTGGTGAAGTCCATGTCGCTTTGTGAATGTCCTTGTGTTTGTACACGGTGCCCCCAATCAAATCGTTGAATGCGCAGAATTCTGCAAACAGTTCTGCGTTCTCATTCATTTCACCGAGTGCTTCTTAACCCATGATCAGTTCGCTTCCTGTCTTGTCCACTCCCACTTTGGCATTCATGTTGCTCATTAGAATTTCGATGTCGCCAACTGGAGTCTTGTCTATTACTGATTGCAGTTGTCTGTAGAATTTTTCCTTCTTCTCTTCATCTGCGTTATTTGTTGGCGCGTAGCATTGTAGGATTGTGACTTTCCTTCATTTTGAGTTGAATCTTGCTGTCATGATCCTGGAGGAGGAGATTGGTTCCCAGTGTATGAGAGCCTTCGATGCTGTTGCGGTCATCATGATAGCCACTACGATACTTAGTGTGCTCATGGTTGTCGTCTGGATAACAATATCGGAGTAGATTATTGACAGTTCGGAGAGTCCACTTCAATTCCACTCGCTTTCGCAGATTCCTAGCACTTCAATGCTATACCTTCTCATCTCGTTTGCAATCTGGGCAGCCTTGCTAGGTTCAAACATAGTGGGGACATTCCATGTCCCTGTTCTTACTTTCGCTTTCATCGAGAGAAGACACGTAGACCGATTGACTTCCTGAAGTCTTTCACCAACTGGCGTCCTTTCGCCTCTCCGATTCCAGCGAGCAATAAGTTTAATTTTATTTTTTATATTTTCTTTGTGCTTTGAAGTTTCTTTAGCTATTAGATTTGTTTTACGGGGTAGGGTTGCTAGCTCTATGCCCAACCTTCCCTCTTTACCCGGGCTTAGGACCGGCTAGTCAATTAGTTACATAGGTGAGTTTAGCAGGAAATATGGACCATTGAATTCCGACCCAGTTACTAGCTCAATGGTAACGTGCTGACCACAGAACTTGATGTTCCTGTGTTCGATCCAAGATGGGGCGGGCGGGGTCATGGGTGCGCACTTCTGAGGAGTCTCATACTAGGACGAAACTGCTATCCAGTGCTCCTAAGTTTCAAATTTTCTCCCATTTGATGTCAGCCCAAGATGAATACCAACTTAAATTAGAGTTACAATCTACCAGGGTGTTGAAGTTCTACTCTTATATATGTTAAAGAATATATCTACCTACCAGTGATTGATATTGTTCCCATTAAGACTGGAAGCCTGGACTAAATAATTCAAAAACTAAGTCACAGCATTATCCACTAGATCATCGAATCAGGATGGCCACTTTCTATGGAACAGGTTTAGTTCTTCTGTTTGTTTCTTTGTGTGTGTGTGTGTGTGTGTGTGTCTTTAACTGTTGTTTACCAATGCTTTGTCATATTACCACCTCATAGTCAATGTATCTTTCTCACTGTCTTAATTTCTTGTTTCCCTTTTTATTATGGTGATCAGTTTGTCGCATACATACACTGTATTGATTAGCCTAAATACTTTAGATGCTTATAAAATTTCTTTTATTCATGTTAAGATTTTATTGGCTTTTACAATAAATTGATGTTTAAACCCCACTTATACTACAAGGAATGGGGGAAGAAGTGTGCTCAATTTATCACTTTATTTGTATTTTGAGGGAGTTGTAAAGATTTGGAAATATTTCAAGTTGTTATTCATCGTAGACTGACATCAGTTGAAGAGGAACAAAGGGAACTTGGGAGCACTGGACAACTGTTTCGTCCGACTAGTATGGGACTCCTCAGCAGTGTGCACTCACAACCCCACCAGGGATTGAACCCGTGACCTTCAGGTTCCGTGGCCAGCGCGTTATCATTGAGCCACTGGGTCAGAATCCAATGCTCCCAGGTTTCCTTTGTTCCTCCAACTGATGTCAGTCTACGATGAATAATCACTTTTATTTGTATCAAATTAATGCAAAGATGAATAACAGTTTTGTTTACTGCACCTAATGATGCATAAACTCATATGGTATGCCATGTAATGGGCATTTATGAGATTTGATGTATTGACTGGGTGACCTATGGTATATAAGTAATTAATTATTGATGTATGTCTTTTTTCTACTCAGTGATCCAATGAATCCTGGTCAAGATCAAGTATTATTATCACAACCTGATCTACAGAAACAGCGTCAATCGATTGCTTCAGTAACTGGAAGTAGAGGCAGTATTTTTGAAGCAGTACGTCGAAAGTCATCACTTCTTCTAAATAGGTAATTACTATTGATATTCTATGTGACTGTACATGTGGATGTGTTTATTGTTATTCTGGTCACATTTTGATTGTCAATCAATCAGATTAAACTTGTGATCATAGAGTTGTCATGTTTATGAATGTCTACATAGGACCAGCTATCACTAAACAACGGTCCAAGTTGCCTCACCTCATATATCAGCGTATCAAGTAACAAGGCAATAAAATGAGAAGAAGGAGGAGTGAGAAGTTGATGAGATTAAGTATGGCGGTTAAGACGAGGATAATGTGTGTATACATCTGTGCCTGTAACATCGATTCTGAGCCATGTGATCATTTAGAGTCTCTTGTCTCGTGGACCCCAACTGACTAGTCTGCATCACTCTACAAGGTTTGAACCAACAGTCAAGCACTTCATGGATTGATGCCATGTTTAGTTTGACCATCCTGAGCCTTTTTCAAGTCTGAACCTACTTCGGTGAACATTATGTGATGAGGTAGATGGTCACTAAGTATGTGTAGCACATATCTCAGCCATCTGAGTCGACGAAGGTTCACAACCGCATCAACAGATTTTACTCCTTTCCCTAAAACTCTATACTTGACGTAATGATACCACGGAATACGACCTATGCTACGAAGGCGACGGTGGTTGAACACCTGAAGCCTTCTGATATCCTCTACCTTTAATATCGACGTTTCACAGTAGAACAGATCGGAGTGCAGCACAGTACACTTGAACCTTAAAAGCGTAACAGGGCTGATCCGACTTCCCCAACTTCAGGAGATCGGTCACAAGTTCAATCCTGCTCCATCTACCGAGGTTTAAGCAGCCATATAGTGTCATTAACCATCAAACAAAAGGTGTAGCTCATTGTCTGCTGCACAGAAGTGCACCAGGTTGCTGAGCGTATTTTTCATCCAATTCGAAAGGTTTGATCCATCATCATATTATTATTATTATTTGTGCCTTGAGTTCCTAATGGAACATAGCGCTTCAGTAGCACGTCTCCATTCCACTCTCTTCTCTACAATCTTTTAAACCTGGCTCCAAGACAGCCCACAACCTCTCATTTCTTCCTCACACCATCTCCTCCATATCACCCCCCATGCCTCCGACGCCCAACTTGTCGTTTCCCATCTGGGTTCCACTCGACTGCCTGGCCTGACACGTGATGTCCCCATTCAGCCTTCTCAGTGTATGCCCAATCCAATCCATCTCCACTTCCTTCTGCTTATTTGTTGGATGATAGATTCTTGGTTGGGTGTTTGGTTGGTTGCCAGGTAACCAGAGTTTCTTGTTGATTATTCTTTGTGGCCTTCTCATCTGATCTTCAATAACAAGTCAGAGTAGGCAGTTGTTGATGAGTGTGTGTAGTTTGTTGGAAATGCTTTTCGTAACGTGCCAAGTCTGTGAGCCATAGAGAATCAGTGACTTGACTGTGGTTGTTGGTGTATAAAATGTGGATGTTGTTCACGCTTTATGTTGAGTGCAGAAGATCTTCACACTGATTTCAGGCTGGCTAATGAAAGCCTGTGTCTTGGTTTTCTGATCATGGCTGGCTTTGACGTCCTCGTCTGTGCCTGTGCCACCTGTAGTTGGGAGGATGCTGTCTAGATAGGTGAAGGAGGCTACTTGCTTTGAGTTCCTCCCACTGATGGCGATTGGCGCTTGTTGTTGTTGTTGTTGTTGGTTGGGTATCTTCATCACCTCTGTCTTCTCTATATTCACTTGAAGTCCTGTCTTCGTTGCCCTGGCCTGCCTCTTCTGTCATCTAGTTGGATTTTGCCTTTAGATCATGAAGTTTGTGTAACATTAGACATAAGTGGTGATCGGCGAAATCCAAGTCTTCTCGGATGTTTTCTGCGGTCCAGCGTATCCCTGTCTTCTCGCTGCTCATTGTTTGTTGCATGGTGCAGTCGACCACAATGAGGAAGATGATTGGTGATGGTAGGTGGTGGCCTTGTCTTACTCTTGTCTTCACTTCGAAGACATCACTGAGGTTTCGATTGTGAATTATTTGGGATGTGGTGTCTTCATATAGTTGTTGAATGAGATTGATAAATGTTTGTGGCACTAAAACTGTAGTGTTGAAGCAGTGTCCAAATTACTTCTCGGTCGACGCTACATTCATCATGATTTACGTCCATTTATGAACTATTTGAAGCGGTTGCTTATCTCTGCTGTCTCTTGTTTTTCATTTAACAATTCACACATTCTACATCATTCACCCTAATGAAGTTTGTTTGAGAAACCAAGTAGTATTGTTAATCGTTACAAAACATTTTTTCTTCATTGGTTTTTATACACATCTGTGTAGAGTTTCTGAGTTGTGCTTCTCACTTCATTGCCAGTAATTATGTCATGCATGAGTTCAACTTTAGTTGTATTCATTTCGACTGGTTTCATATCATTATCTTGGATATTTTAGGTGAAATGCCTAGCGTAAAACATGAACATTCATTACTTTATTGACTTGTATTTCTCTATTACACTCGATTGTCATGATTATACTCGCCATCACATAGTTTTATTTGATTCACTGAGTTTTATTCATTGAATGTCTCTTTAATTGAGATATTATTCTAATTAACAGAAGGGGGGGGGGAGTCTAATCGATGCTATAGTGTGTGTGTGTGTGTATGTGTATGTGCGTGTGTTAGCGATAGTCGAATTTAATAGATCAAGGCAATGAGCCATACTTATTGTGAGGGCTAATAAATCATATCAGGCTACTCAGAACTCAGTAGGTGGAGCGGGGTTCGAACTCAGCTGTGACTTATTGGTTTAGGGCAATGTCTTTCAACCAGTGGATTACAAGTTGGAAGCCCGTTCCATCTATCAAAGTTTAGTATCATCAAAAGCCCTCACACTAATATGTGGGGTTCATTTTGCCTATGGCATATATATCCACAAAATTACTGAATACATTTTAGATTCAATGTAGAACCTAGCAGAGGGCCTATGGCATTTTGTCGCTTCACTTTGTATCTTTAAAGTCAAAGTCATTCCATTTCAGTTCTATAGTATTATTTTACATTGAACAGATGTGAAACACAAGCCAGACACCTCTAAAATCTTCCCAACTAACACCTAGCACCAGTGAATGGAATCCTTGACTGTTGGTTCGAGCCAGATGGGGAGATAAAGACTACCTGGTTGGGGTAACCAAGACGAAAGAAATCTGTGGTTCAGGACTGCCCCTTGGTGACGGAAATAGTTCACAGTGCGCAGATGTATTCATTGCTTGACATCTCCTGTAGCTTGAATATTCGCACTAATCGTTATCTCCAGATAGTTTATTGCCTCAGACAAACCTTCCTGAGTTGTTTAGATGTGAATATCAAGGTAGTGTCATGTCTCTTCACACAATTAATGCGATCCTAGTACCTTGTATAAAAATGTGAACATGATTATTGAGTTGGAATTTTCAAAGAAAATCTTGGAGGTTATGTGAGATTTACGTTAAGGATGGATCGTGGCTAGCAGTGAAATCCAGGATGCGCATTTCGTCCTATTTGGGACTTGTCAGCTGGATGTACCTGTCTCCCAGTGTGGAGTGATGTTGTTCCTACCGGGATTCGGACTCGGGAGCGATCACCAGTGCGTTATCCCCCACACCACCGAACCACGATAGCCACTTTTCTTGTGCGACGGGTATAGTTTTTAGTATGAGGGTTTTTATGTGATACCATCGTTGATTGGACCGAATTGACCGGTCTCTATTAGCATATGGGTTCCTGTGCGGATGCATCGATATTGCCAGCAATCTGATTATGTTAAGGATGGTGTAGGGGATAACGCTCTGGCGTTTGAAGCGATCGCTCCCGAGTCCGAATCCCGGCGGGAATAACATCACTCGCTGGGAAGAAGGTACATCCAGCTGACGAGTCGCAAATAGGACGAAATGCGCATCCTGGAATCCACTGCTAGCTGTGATCCATCCTTAACATAATCAGATTGCTGGCACTATCGAGGCATCCACACAGGAGCCCATATGCTAATAGAGACCGATAAATTCGGTCCAATCAACGACGGTATCATATAAAAACCCTCATACTATGTGAGATTTACTTTATTGAAAAAGTACACATTTGTATATGGATAGTAAATCTGTTCAAGGATGTGTTAGGCTGGAGTCGTAAAGATGACAAGGAACAATTGGTGTAAACTGTTGATAATAAGACGTAGATGTTTTTTGAAGTTTTGAACATTTTGTTCATCTTCATATTTTTTTCCACTTACATACATTCTTTACGTTTATATCCACTTTCTATCCACTTTCTTTCTTTCATGAAGTGTGGCAACTTGGACCGATACACTTCTATACTTGAACTCTAAGTTGATATGTCTATGGTTAGACATGTAGTGTCAATAATGGAAGTGTATATGAAAGTTGTAGGAATAGTCTTTAATTCGATTTTGTGAGTTGACTGGATTCACTAGTACAGTGAAGTTAGGTTGCATTTGCCACCCGAGTGGAAAATGTTGCTCCGGGACTGGTCTTCAACGGCACCCTGACAGTAGTGAGGGAAGTGGTCGAGTGCATTGAACATTTCACTTACGTTGGAAGTCGTATCAGACGTGGTGAGTACGATCATCTGTTAAGAGTCGATTGTTCTGTGCTTCATTTCTATCTGTTCTCCTGTGTGGATGGGAAACATGGGGATTAAAGACAGAAGACATGAGATGATTTCAGTTGCTTGACCGCCGATACCTTCGTAGCATATACCATGTTTCGTGGTGTCACCACGTGAGTAACTCAAAAGTCAGGTGTAGAATTTTAGGGACAGAAAAGTAAGTCAGTTGATCCAGTCGTGATTCTTCATCGACTCAGATGGCTAAGACATGTGTTACTTATGACTAACCACCCTCTGCCACATCACAATGATGGTTGAAGTAGGTGTTTAGGCTGAGAAAAGCCTGAGAGTGACCAGAACAAAATATGGTATCAATGCATGAAGTCGTTGACTGTTGGTTGGAGCCATGTAGGGCAATGTAGACTAGCTGGATGGGATCCATAGGACAGGAGAAATGAACCAGTGGCTGACTCGGAATCCATGTCAATCGAGTATATGTACACACACATTATTCTCATCTCCACCGTCCTACTTAATCTAGACATTCTCTTCACTGAATTATCTCTTATTTATCACTCAATCGACACAACTCTGTTTACTTCTGATTATACGGGGATTGATCTGCTCGCTGAAAGTCATCCAGTTGACTTGGAATATGGAGAGAATATTGTCCTGCTGAGTGAAGATGTTGACAAAATGCAGGGTCTTCTGTACGCCTTGATCAGAAATCTGTGTATAGTTGGCATGCATTTCACACTTTTGAAGTGTAAGATGATGGTGCAGCATGCGTCTGCTCCAAGTACTCC